GCAGTTCTGTTTTTTATGAGGAAAACTACCAGTGAAGACATGATTATCTGTAATCTTCAAAGAAAGGTCCAACATTTATTAGTTCAACTAATAAATCACTATTTCTAAATAAATAATAAGAGACTAATGACTGATAACACATATCTTGACAATGAAAGTGTACATTTTCGGTGATAGTTCTGTATTAGTGCATGGTGAATGTTATGTGTAAGGTATTCAAGTGGAACGTTAAATTGGGACATATGAATTAGATATTCAGCTCCAGATTGTATTAGTTGTAGTTATTTTTTTATATAAGGCCGTTTTATATAAGCTATAGGATAATTAAAAAAAAAGTTTCATAAACTGCAAAACACATAATACATTGATCATTAAAGGAATAGGCATTTCACAACTACAGCCCTTCATTCATGCATTTTACCGAATGGGTAGTAAACATTCACGTACGTTCTATTTAACAACACATTTATGCATTTAACCAAACAGATTGTATGCATTTTATAACACTTGCAAAAAATGATATGTCGAATCAAACAACTGATTCGACATAAAGAATTGTCTCATAGAAGTTTATTTATTGAAGTTGTACTTGATGAGTAAAGCATAAAAATAACTCGAAAACACAACAAATAAAATTGAATATCGAGAAACACACAAGCACTAATCGAAAAATTTTGGGGACAGAGGAAAACCACGTTGTTGTTGGACAGTGATTTGAATTTTAACGCTCAACTACACTACATTCAAACATCATCAACTTATTAATTAAATCTAAAATCAGAATTTTATAAATCTATTCGGCAAATGGTAGAAATCGAGAAAAAAACATATGTAGACGGGAACATACAAAATTGATTCAATAACAAATTAAAAGAGGAAGAAAGAAGGACAACAAAGAATTACCTCGAAGATGAAAAGGTTGTGCTTGGAAAACCTTAAACATGAAAAGGTTAAAGGCAACATGTCTCTTTAATAAATGAGAGGGTGGAGGAATGTTATGAAAGTCGTGAAAGCATCTAGTGATGCCACACACATAAAAAAAAGTGGCCAAGATAACCATGTGGAATTAGATGAAAATAGGACAGCAAAAGGGAAATGACCACAATATCTTCGACTAATATTTTCTTTTTTATAACATGCAGGCATGTTGATACTGTCATATTACTGACTCTTCTACTATAGTAGAAATGATTGAAAATTATTCCTTGTTGAAATCGTTCTGTTATGTTTTGAATTGTTTATTTTTTATTTTAGTTAAAGTTTTAAATTATTACTTTGCCTTGTTATTTTTTATTATTATTGATGTTTATATATTTGTTGTCCTTTTGTAGATAACTTCAATATCATTTATATTAGGTTCTATTTGTATTGCTTGAAATTTATTTGATGCATTTTCTTCTTAATTATGTTACTTTTTTAGCAAATATTAAAATTGGCCAATGAAAAAATTTCTCCGTTGATTTTGGAGGCCTTACCTTTTTTAAGACGAAAATTTAGTTAAGTTTATATTATATACTTGTTAAATTGACCAATGAGAAAATCTCTCCGTCGATTTTGGAGGCATTCTCATTTTTTAAGACGAAAATTTAGTTAAGTTTATATTATTTACTTGTTAAAATTGGCCGATGAAGAAATTATCGTCGATTTCCAATGTCTACCCTGTCAATAAGACATATTTTATTTTCAATTATTTATTTCATTTATTTTTTATTCATATTTATTTATCACTAACTATTTAACTAAGTGTATTTACAGGTACCCAGAGTTACTTCTCATCGAAGCTATTTCAAAGGAATTCAAATGTATTTTATATTCATTATTGTGTATATTATTGACGTTAGGCAAACCTTGGGCTGATACTTACATTATTATTTTATTTTATTATTTGTGTATATTACATGTTAATTGTACTTTTATATTGTTTTTATCTCCTCTTCAATTTGAAAAAAATAATTCAGTCGGGACTCATAGTTTTGGATTTCAAAGGATGCCTAACACCTTTCATTCGGAATAACTTGAACCCCTTACCTAGAATTTATTAATTTTGTAGATCACTTTAATTTGGTTTCCTATTTTTCTTAAAATTAGGTGGCGACTCGTCGACTCCTTTAAAATTCGTTTATTCTTAAAATTCTTTTAAAATTGAATCAATTAATTATTTTTTGAGTCACATCGACATTTCTCCCTATTTAAATAGAGTAGGGATGTAAACAGAGTAGCGACTTCGCTGGGGATATAGAGGTTCTAACCAATATGAATTCATTTTTTCAAATTGAGAATTTTTATTTTATTGTGTTATACCTTGTATTTTTATATTTCGCTAATTATTTGTAAATTGTATTTATTCATTATTCATTTTGTTAAGTGCATATAGTCATTGCATTTCATGACATAATTTTAACCAAGTGACAAATAGAATGTATTAGGACAAAGGCAGTTATGTGACTTTCCACGGCTGTCCCTCAGAAAATCACCTTCGAATTCTTTTGAAGTGATAAACGAATAATTGTTCTGCGGTCATCCAACGTCGTTTATTATACTTCATCCCGTAGTTTGTCTGACTCGGATAAACAAGTCTTTTCTAAACCGCTCTTAGTAGCTAGTGTAGAGCGAGACCAAAACCTTGAATTTAGCGCGTTTGCTTGAGATGAGTCAAACGCTCAAGAAATATTTGTATAAGACATGCATTCAGTATTTGTATGTTATGTGATATAGTTGTTTTACATGAATATGTTGTATGATAGACATAATATCAAGTTACTATCAAGTCACTTTTACCTTTTGAGTTGTTTTGGAAAGCTTGAACGTTATAACTCGTCTGGAGCGGCAAGGGACAAGAGAACTCGCGAGAAATAATTCTTTGATTTTAGAAGAAAATACTAACTCATCGTAAAAATAAATTAGGGGAGTCCTTGACTATGATGTCGCACTTATTTATTTTCTGTTTTTTATGCATTATGGTCCTACTTTCACACATTTTTCATATTTTTATAGGAAAATCGTCCCGACATCAATCGCGGATGGTCATAACCAGATATAGCATAGTTTTCATGAATAATTGGGAGAAGACATAGTTCGCGTTGAAAGATATTTACATTTAAGTCGCATCTATTCAGTGGTGAAGGATGTGCACCGTATCTTTTAAACGTTCAAGTCGGTGAAAACTTGCATTGAAAGATATTTGAATTTAATTCATATCTATTCGGTGGTAAAAGATGTGCACCATATCTTTTCAACGTTCAAGTTGGTGGAAACTTGCATTAAAAGATACTTGCATTTGAGTTGCATCTATTCGGTGGTGAAGGATGTGCACCATATCTTTTCAACGTTCAAGTCGTTGGAAACTTGCATTAAAAAATATCGGCATTCAAGTCACATCTATTCGGTGGTGAATGATGTTCACCGTATCTTTTCAACGTTCAAGTTGGTGGAAACTCGCGTTAAAAGAGATATTTGCATTTTAGTCACATCTATTAGGTGGTGAAGGATGTGCACCATATCTTTTCAACGTTCAAGTCGGTGGAAAGTTGCATTGAAATATATTTGTATTTAAGTCGCATCTATTTGTATTTGAAGGATGTGCACCATATTTTTTCAACGTTCAAGTCGGTGGAAACTTGCGTTGAAAGATATTTGCATTTAACTCACATCTATTTGGAAGTGAAGAATGCGCTTCCTATCTATTTCACGTCCAAGTCGAAAGACTTGTATCAAAAGAATTTCTATTCGTCCTACCGATGGACATTCATTCAAAATCTTATTAATGAATCATCTTTTCCCATTTCTCCTGTCGATGGACATACATTCAAAATCCTACAGATGGATCATCAATTTTTTTTACTTTTTTTGTTCTTTTCATTCGTCCCACCGATGGACATACATTCAGATCCTACCGATGGTTCATTTTCATTCATCCTATTGATGGACATGTGTTTATATCCTACCAATAGATTTTCTTCATTTGCCTTATCGATAGATATACATTCAAAATCTTATCGATGGATCATCATCATTTTTTATTCGTTCTACCAGTAGACATGCATTTAGATCCTACCAATGGATCATCATTTTCATTCGTCCTATCGATGGACATACATTTGGATCGTATTGATGGACTACCTTTTATTCATTCTAGCCATGGATCATTATTTTTATTCGTCCTCCCGATGGATCATTTTCATTCGTTCAACCGATGAACATGTGTTTATATCCTACTAATGGATCTTTTTCATTTGTCCTACCTAAGGACAAACATTCAAAATCCTATTGATAGATCTTTTTTTTTCATTCACATAAATTCAGAGTCCTACCGATGGATATGCATTTTTATCCTACCAATGGATCATCTTCATTTTCCGTATTGTAAAGATGTTTTTTTTTTACCTGTAATTTTATCTCTATTAATGAGTTTCATCTTTATTTTTCCAGAAATCCAAGAGGATGCATTCTCAGTGGAGTCACAGGTGCATACTACTTCAACAAGGACGCAATACACCGTGAAACCTTTTGGAGGCAAGTCTGAGATCAACTTCCACCACAATCAGACCACATTTTTATAAAAAAAAAAAGGTCACGTGTTCAGCCAAAATCGAGTTTTGTCAATTTTTGTTGTGCACGATTTCTTTCATTAATCATATCCAAAGAAAGGGACAAATGTTGACACCCAATTTTGGCATAACATTTTCAAAATTCGTAACTTTTAAGTTTTATTTATTTAATAGTTCAAAATAATTTTTTTATAATTTTAAATAAATTTGTCGATAACTATCTTTATTTATAAAAAAATTAGGATTCTTTATTAGTAAATTTTTTAAATTACATTTTTAAGTGTCATTAGTTACGTTCATTATATCATGTTAATATTTATTTATTTGTTAATACTCATGTTAATATAGTGCACAATCTAGAAGTTTATTCAAATACGAAAAGAATTTAGATATTTTATTCATATAATTTTGAGCCACAATTTCAAGCCTACACATTTGGGCCTATTACATTTTTTTTCTAATTTAGATTTAGATTAGGTAAAAAAATAGGAGGTGGTGAATAAATTTAGAATTTGAGGGTTCAGCGTCTTGATTTTTAGTTTCTTCTATAGTTCATTATCTTTCTCTGGTAAACTTTCATCGGAGATCCGACCAACCACCACCAAAATGATACCCCACTTGTCAACCTACCACTTTTCTCTTCTTCCATCTCTAATTGTCTGTTCTATTTTTTAACAACACGATCACGTCTGAAAGAAGTCGAGCAAAATCCAGGCAGTCGGACTCCGGTGACCTCCAAACAGCCCAAACCAGACCTCCCTCTCTTCTCCAACCAAAATCCCACAACCCCATCTCTGGTGAACTTCCGAGAAACCACCCACACCACAAGAACCTCGCCAGAAATAACCAAAACACACCCACCAGAGAACCCACATGAAGACGTTCCTCCACCACCAGTCTTCATCTCATCCAAACAGCGACCAACGAACCAGACCCCATTTTTTTTTCAAACCAAAATCGAGTCCTCCCATCTTTTCCGGCAAAACCCCGACCCATTTTCCCCTTTTTCGTTCCCAACAAGGCAACAAAAAATCAGCCCCTTCCCCTTTCCCTCTATTCGAGTTTATATGTGTTTTTGTAGGTCATTTGTGAGCTCAAAGCTCCATTAAACAATGAGGTCGAAGCTCTAAAAGTTTTCTCCGGTATGGCTCCATCACAGGTAAACCACGACCAATTAACCAGACCTTGCACCAGCGAGCTCGAAGCTCCACACTCAAACTCTAGCGAAGCTCAAAGGTTCAGCCATTCCGATCAACTCCACGTTGTTGAAACCTCACTGTTTGTCTCTATTACTCATTTTTTATTTGATTGTTCACTATTTTGTGTGGTTTAATTTTATTACTATTATCATGCTCAGATTCTTCACAATGATTGTCATTTTTAATTTATTTTATTTTTATTAATGTAATTTGAATTCGTTATATTCCTTTAGGATAGTTTTGTTTAGCTTTACCGTCTCATATCACATATTCTAGGTTTACACTATATTCTTTTAGTGTTATTTTATTTTATTCATGTTTGGCCCTTCTTTTAATTTTGTTGGAATAAGTGGTTTATATATTTTTTATTTATTTAATTTGTATTGTTATATTTGGATAGTGATCACAAGTCATTTTAATTTACTTTATATTATCCTTTGATAGTTTAATCCGATATTTATAGTTGAATGATTGAAAATTATTCCTTGGTTGAAAATCGTTCTATTATGTTTTGAATTATTTATTTTTTATTTTAATTAAAATTTTAAATTGTTACTTTGCCTTGTTGTTTTTGTTATTATTGATGTGTTATAATTTGTTTTTTTTTTTAAGATAACTTGAGTATCATTTATATTAGGTTCTAATTTTGTTGCTTGAAATTTATTTGATGCATTTTGTTCTTAATTAAGTTATGTTATAGCCGATGAAGAAATTACCATCGATTTTCAAGGTCTTTCGTGTCAATAAGATGGATTTTATTTTAAGTTATTTATTTGATTTATTTTTTATTCATAGTTATTTATCACTAAGTCTTTAACTAAGTGTATAGGTACACACAGTTACTTCTCATCGAAGCTATTTTAAAGAAATTCAAATGTATTTAATATTCATTATTGTGTATATTATTGACGTTAGACAAACCTTAGGCTCATACTTACATTATTATTTTATTTTATTATTTGTGTATATTACATGTTTATTGTACTTTTATATTGTTTTTTATCTCCTCTTCAATTTGAAAAAAAATGAATTCAATCGAGATCCATAGTTTCGGATTTCGAATGATGCCTAACACCTTCCCTTCGGAATAACTTAAACCCCTTACCTAAAATTTCTCGGTTATGTAGATCACTTTAATGTGGTTTCCTATTTTTCTTAAAATTAGGTGGCGACTCCTTTAAAATTCGTTATTTTTAAAATTCTTTTAAAATTGAATCAATTAATTATTTTTTGATTCACCGCGACGTTTCTCCCTATTTGAATAGAGTAGACATATAAACACAAGGCTTGATTCAAGATATGTGATGTGTGTGCTTCCCAATTTATGTTATATGTGTTTGTTAACTCTATCCTTAGTATTGCATGCGTGATATATGTTAGGGAAATCAAAAGGATATGATACGAAATCAAATATGTTGTGAATTGCGCGCAATGAATATGTTTACTTGAAAGTACATGTGTAATACTATTCATTATGATTATGTTGTGTTATATGCTGATGATTTTGATTGGGTGCCAAGTCGACATATAATTTTGTATTTTTGTTGAAATGGATACTACACTGATACACTAACAATGGTAACGAGTACCACATTGGTACACTAACAATCCATATGTGTGGGTTTTATGAGAGAATTTGATTTACTTAATTTGTTACAATGGTTCATGTTATTGTGAATATTAGTTCGTAGTGAGGATGGGCAATCCAACATATGTATTCTAGTGTTATTATTCTGTATTATCTATTACGATGTTATGGTTGTTTGTTCATATTTCATAAATTGAAACTAGCCTATGATCCTATTAGTACACTCTGGTTGCGTACTAATAATGCACTTGAAATTCTTTGTTGAGTACATGACATATTTAGGAGTATTTTTCAAGACCTCAATTGTATATAATTGTAAATGTGCGACGTCCGAATTCAAGGGCGAGCTACATCTTCCAAACTGTCGTAGATTATTTCCTATTTTACTGTCCATCTTTCTAGACACAAAACATTATAGACTTTAGATTTATACGTTTTGGTTGGGGTTTCATCCCCTTATTCAGACTTGTGAGACGTTTGGGTACTATGGCTATCAGATTCTAAGGGTCAATTTTTTGCTTAATATTTTGATAACTGATTTAGTTTATGAGCTAAATCCATTTTTCTTACACATTGTTTCATTCGATTATTATATATTTGAGTTAGGTTGGCAGATGATTCTCTCACTAGGTGGTTTAGAGAAGGTGAGTCTCGAGCCTAAAGAATATAAAATATTAACAAAAATTCTAAAATGGTATATAAAATTTTATATTAACCAAAACGGCAAAATCGCTAGAACAACAACGATTTACTCCACCGGAAAAAGCAAAATTGCTGCCACTGCAGCGATTTTGCAAAATGTAAATTTTTTTTTAAAAAAATTTAAATGCTACCTAGGCAGTGATTTCCTTGAAAAAGAAGACATGTCAAATTCTTACAAAAATATTCAAACTTTAAAAAAAAATTCACATGCATTTACAAAAAATTGTGTTAATTTACATGCAAATAGTGTCAAAGTTACATATTACATTTTTATTTTGTTATAAATTGATTGAATTGTAATTCACATGCAAATAGTATGATTTATATTTTGTTATAAATTGACTGAATTGTAATTCACATGCAAATAGTGTAATTTTTATTTTGTTATAAATTGATTGAATTGTAATTCACATGCAAATAGTGTTATTTTTGTTTTGTTATAAATTGATTGAATACAATTCACGTGCAAATAGTGTCAACTCAGAATGTTACACTTTTACTTTGTTATAAATTGATTGAATTGCTCATTCAAATTGCATTGTAGTTTTTCAATTTTCCAATATTCTTGAAAACCTTTCTATTTTTCTAATTTTTTAAAGTTTTTAAAAGTCTTTTTTTTATAAGGCGAGTATGAATTTATTTTTAATTTATTTAATTAATTTTATACTTTTATATGATATTTTGGATATATTCAATCTTTTGATACTTATATTAATGTTAATATTTTTTTTATTTTTTGTGTATAGATATGCATTCCTCAAATGTATACGTACATCCTGGTCCAGTAGAGCATGATGTATTAAAAATTCAAGTTCGTCATCGTTCCGAAGGAATTTGGAATGGTAGTATAAAAGAAGTGAGATCTTGCTTATATACACGTCGTGGTGATATTTAACTTTGGCAACATATAAAATATCATCCATTACATTCTCTCGCATCGGTCAATATTTTTGAAAATTGTAGATTTAAAGGAATTCTTAATGTAGGATGTGTGTCGTATGACTCTGGATTTATTTCTGCTTTAATTGAAAGGTGGCCTCCAGAAACACATACTTTTCACATGCGAACTAGCGAGGCTACCATAACTTTACAAGATGTTGAAATTTTATTCGGAATGGTAGTAGTTGATAGTCCTGTAATTTTAAATGGAGCTGATTCTTTAGGGATTATAGGTAGACAAGAAATGATATTTGAATTAACAGTATGGTTATCCGATACTAGTTGTTTTTCTTGTGTTAGTAGATTGTTAACATATAAATTGATAGGTTATATTGAAGGTTTGGATGGTATTAATGATCACTCAAATGAGCATGAAGTGCAACAAAGATTTAGATTATATTTATTATAGTTATATGGTGGATCAATATTTTCGGATAAATCTAATAATAAGATTAATTTGGACATTTTGATTGACATGAGAAATTTAGATTTAATGTCAACTCAAGCATGGGGAGCAACTGCATTATCATATTTGTATAATTGTTTGTGTCGTGCATCAATGAAAATCAAATGAAGTTTGTAGATTTCTCTCTTTAGTGCAGGTATACATATTTTTTAATTAAATATTTTTTATATACTATTAATATGCACTTTTAAATTTAAATGCATTATAAGTAATGGTGAATTTATTTATTGTAGATTTGGGCTTGGAAAAGAATTATTCCCTTGCAATCATTGCCAAAGCCTCTAAGGACCAATCAATTTGAGGATTCAACTGCGCTTGCACATAAATGGACGTGACATAGAAATCATCAAAATGAGGCGTAAACTATAATCGGTGTGATTAGGGATGTACTAAATAATCTAACTGATGAACATGTATTTAATATTATTAGTATTTTAAACTATTCATATTTTATTTCATTTTAAATAAAAATATGTTTGGTAGATCTTTAAATGAGGCACTTATGTTTCACAATCCAAGAAAATTATGTAATAAAATGACATATACATAGATTCTTGTTAGGTCCTTAAAAGTAAAATATCTTATGACAGTACAAAAAAATTATTTTTTAAGATTGTTCATTTTCACGTACATTTTTTTTATTTTTCTACCAATTTTATTTTTATAATTATCTTACTTAATTATTTTTTTATAGTTTATTTGGCAACCTTATTCGGAAGATGTTATTAATGGATTGCCTGAGTGGTGTCGGTCGGAACAACGTGTTTGGATGGTACAAGTGTCACTTATTTATGAAATTTATCGTGAGTGGCACATGATTGATCGTGTTGTGAGACGGTTCGGTTATTTACAACATATTCCTAGACCGTGTACTCAATTTTTTGAATATCATTTTAAGCGTGATAAAAGATCCAAAATAAAACAAGAAGATATAGATGCATTTAACTACAACGTCAAAATCGTATATTTCGAGATCCATTTGTAAGTGATCAAACAGATTACTTTCGTTGGTACATGAGGCATACCCGCATGTTCATTGGAAATCCACAACATGTTGTACAAAAAGGGTATCAACACATGGAAGAAAGGCATGAGGCATTAGTATGTATATTATGTAAATTTTAAATTATTATGTCAATTTTAATAATATTTTTGTTATTAATATTTATTTATTCATTATAGGCCAGGGGTCATGAAATGCAGTATCGTCGAGCTTGAATAATTGAAAATGATGAAAATCAATCTAATGAAATGAGACAATATGCAGAGGAAGCCGCTCGTATTTCAATGGAGTCAATGAATGCGGCCTTCCAAGAAACGCGATTGAGCTTTGATCCTGATTATAATCCTCCTACTCAATACATCGAACCACCTCCAGTACAAGTATCTGACCCATCAAGACAAACAACACCGAGAGAGGGTGCACGTCGAGGTAGAACGAGCGCTGGTGAAACGAATTTTGAAATGTGTAAAGTTTGTTGTTTCGTGCAAGTTTGAAAAAAGTAATGAGATTCTTACGCAATGAGATTCTTAAGCAGTGAAAGTTTGCAGTATTTATATTTTCTTTATGGCATAAGTCAAATCAATACTTTTTATGTTAGGTCAAATCATTACTTTTTAATAGAGTTCAAATCAATAATATAATAATAATATAAAAATATTATACTTACAATATTTAAAATGCAGCAAGACATATTAAATTCATGTCAACAAATAAATATAAAAGATATATCATAATATTAATAACAAGACAATAAAAATACATTAACCTTAAAAACATAGACAAAATATTTAAAATTGAGTAGGACATCGTGCCTTGGTGTGACCTGTCTCCTTACAAACACTACATTTTCTAGTCATGCGAGCCGGAGCTATATCCTTATCATTCTCAAGATGGCTTCTTACTTGCGTACTACTTGTCTGCAAATATTCAGTATTTGCAATTAAATTAAAAGGAGCTGGTGGCCAATACATTTCATCACCCACTGGTTAAATATCTCAGTGTATGTTCCTTTGTAATATTTTATACTATAGAATTTACTTACATAAAATTTTGGCTCGATTCCGCGAAGTCCACAAAATTTGATGGCATGCGAACAAGGCATATGATAATTTCTTCATTTTCCACAAGAACATTTCTTACCTTTTGCAGTAACCTTGTGGACATTCCACCTTTACCATCATGAGCAAAAGTATAAATTTCAAAAACTCCATCACCTGTGTTGTAAGTCATCATATCTGTGTGCCCTTGAGCTCTTTGACAATAATCATTAAAAAATTTTATCTATCGCAAGAGGCCATGAAGTATTACTTTGAATTAATGCAATTGCAAGATTGTTTCTTTCGACAAAACGATCAACGAGAGTTTTGAACGTCATTTGAACCATGGCAGTCACAGGAAATCCCCAAACTTTTTTCAATAAATCATTATATGACTCAGACACATTTGTCGTCATGGCACCCCATCTACGACCGCCATCCTTATACATTGTCCATTTTTTCAAAGGAAATTCATTTAACCATTCATATTCTGCAGGAGACAATGTTTTGATTTGTTGCATCTGTTGCACAAACTTTTTCTCCTGATGCTCAGTAGTAGCCAACCACATTAATTTTTCGAGTTAACTATTTATAATGTTTTTATTAAACTTTGTTTTTAAGTGTCAAACACAAAATCTATTATATATGTTGGGTGGACTCAACCAATCATAAAATTGAACGCACTGCAAGATTTCTTGATGACGGTCAGAAATAAGACCAATTCCTTGTTGTTCACAAACTACATCTGTCCATAATAACTGGAGAAATCATGACCAAGACTCAAAACTCTCACATGCAACTAAAGCATATGCATGTGGAAAAACATTTCCATTCGCATCAATTTCAAACGCAATTAACAGTTTAATGTCATACAAACCATAAAGATATGTGCCGTCGATAGATATGACCGGCCTACAACTTTTGAAACCATCAGTGCTCTGTTTAAAAGCCCAAAAAAGAAATTTAAAAATTTACTCACCTTGCATTGTTGTAGAATGATGCTTCCACTCAATAATAGTGCCTGGATTGAATAATTGTAGTGCAACCATGTATCGAGGTAATGCCTTACATGAACTTTCAAAATCACCATAAACCATTCAAAATGCTTTTATTTGACCTTTTTGTGCTTTTCTATAATTAGGAGTATAGTGATGCTTTCCTTTGATAATTTCACGGATCATCTTAATATTTATGTCTGGATTTTACATAACATATGATATTAATGAAGTGACTATCAAGTTATCATTCAAATTGAAATGATCCTCCTTATAGTTATCTGTAAGTTAAGTATGTGGTTTAACCATTTTTTTTGTCTTCCACATACCGCTTGAAATCTCTCTAAACCGAATCATCCAATCACACCCTAACTCATGACGCTTGCAAATAACTTTTCAACTTTTACTCTTGGATTGATCATAAAGAAATTCTTTTTTAATAGCAAGACTATATGCTCTTACTGCAGATTTCATTTGCATCTTATTCATAAATAACATACCTAGTTGCATATACAAATTAAATTAATCAACATGAAATAAATAAATAAATAAATAAACAACTACAAAATATTTAGTTTTCAACAATCGAACCTGACTGGATATGTTTAGGATTGTTTGAATTTCAAAGTGTCGTTCGAATGGAACCGTCATCTCTCGTGTAGATAAAATCTTCTGCATTTTCTTCAGTGTGATTTAAGTATGTAATCGCTGTAGAATGATAATTAATACTTTGATCTTCAACGGATGCATTAGGTGCATTATCCACATTATCGTCATCATCATACACATCATCAATGTCTGTTAATTCATGCTCGGAAGATTCATCATTGTGCAACTCACCAACTCGTTTATCACCCATAACATTATTATTTTCAATTTGTTGACAATAATTCACTGCATTTTGAATTTGATCATACCTATAAAAATAATAATATAAATATATTACATACAAGAAAAATAATTTTAAGAAATAAGAAAACATTACCTTGTTTAGCTATAAGTTGAATCCGATGAGAAAAAATTCAAATGATTGAAACTTTGGCTAGAATCTCCCATAATGGCAGACTTCAGTTAGAAATAATGATCCTCTTGAAGTAATGATCATGAATATATATATATATATATATTGTTGTTTATTAAATCACTACGTGAAAAGCGATATTTAAAAATACTAAAAAAAAGAACTAAAATCGTTACACTAATAGTGATTTAATTTTAAAAATAATAATAATTTAAATAAAATCACTGTCGCCATTTCCTAGGCAGCGATTTTCTAAAAAAAATAAAAATCAATGCCTAGGTAGCGATTTGATTTTTTTTTTTAAAAAAAATTCACATTTTGCAAAATCGCTGCAGTTGCGATAGAGTAAATTGTTGTTGTTCCAGCGATTTTGCCTTTTTGGTTAATAAAAAATTTTATATACCATTTTAGATTTTCATTAATATTTTATATACTTTAGGCTCCGGACTTTAGAGAAGGTGTTAGTCATGACGGGTCAAGATCGTGCCAAAAACCACTTATATCCGGACTCTAGAGAAGGTGTTACTCATTCCGGGTCAAGATCGTGTCAAAAACAACTTATAATCTTTTACGTTGTTGTATATTATAATGAAATAGTGAAAGGAAGATTTTGGGCAGATTATTATAATGACAAAAAATAATTTTAATCGAAAATAAGTTATCATTGTTTGAGCGGATTAGGGTAATGATAAAGCACCTATTATAATTTTGTACAATGTTGTACATTGGGCGTATAATATTTTATATCGTGATTTTAAATATTGTTGTAAAAATTCTGTATATTATTGTATATCAAGGTATAATATAATGTTGTTGTTTTATAGATATATAAAATAAATTAACAACTATTACTATGATATACTGAAATTGTAGAAGGAAGATCACTTGATATGTGATTTTATGCAACACTGTTATAATGATAAAAATATTTTTTATCAAAAATATGTTATTTTAGTTTGAGCATATATAATGAAATAGTGTGCATATTGTTATGACGATAATTTTTTTTTTATCAAAATAAGTAAGAGGAACTTTTACATATAACTATCAAAAATAGTTTAAGTACGCTTCATAATTATAGTTTTCTAATTTTAATTCGTAGCTACATACTATAGGGAGGAGAGTGGTGAGCGAGATCAGGAGAGGGAGGAGAGAGGAGGGCGAGAGAGGGTAGAGAGTGGAAGAGAGGTGAATTATATATGGATATCGATTAGATAATTTTATATATGTAACTGGTATACATATGTATTTGCATATCTGGCAAGCGAGTTTGGGAGAGAGAGGAGAGAGGCGAGCGAGACTGGGAGAGGGAGGAGAGAGGCGAGCAAGAGAGGACAATAAATTGTATAATTCACATCTTGTTTGTATATTTCGCGGGTACATTTGTATAATTCACATGTTTTTGTATAATTGAGTAATACAAAGTCTGAAATTATACAAATATGATAAAACTCAAAATAACAAATTGATACAAGCATAAGCATATGAACTTTAATCATATAAACTCGAAGTCAGCCCGTGATAATTATGCCAAACTATAATTATAATAACTAATTAAGTAGTATAAGTTTAATTTAACAACATACTTTTCCAATAACTTATTATGGTTTGGGCGTGTTAGAGTGCTGACAAAACACCCCTTACAATTTATAGAATGTTGTATATTGGGCATATGATACTGTTATCATGATTTTAAATATTGTTGTAAAAAAAGTTTTGCATATTATTGTATATCCAGGTACAATGTTGTTGTTTTTCTTATATAAAATTAAACCCTATTATTTAGGATTTAGAATATAATGAAATAGTGAAAGGAAGACCACATGAATTGTTTGCACACTGTTATAACGATTAAAAAAAAGGTAACTTTCACATATAACAAATAAAAAATTTATATTTGTATACTATAGTAAAATTTGCATAATTGCGTTCCATAACAAACATAGAAACTGTATAATTCGTTATACATATACAGTTGAAGCAAATTGTATAAAACGAAGTGTATAAAACAAGAAAGAGAAAGACACTTGGGCAGAAAATTGTATAAAACGAATTGTATTATTATAAGTGTATAGAACAATTATATACAATTTGAAAATTTGTATAAAATGAGAAAGAGAGAAAGACAAAAGAGACTTGACAAGGAATATACAATTGAATCGAATTGTATAAAACGAGAAAGAGAGAAATTATCTGAAAATTGTATAAAATGAGAAAGAGAAAGGCAAAAGAAACTGGGCAGCGAAGTATTTTTATTGTATAATTATAAGTGTATAGGACAAAAATATATGCACTTGATGTGTACATACAATTTTCACACGCTTTATACAAACAGAAACACAATTTATATATTTCGCTTCTGTTTATATAAGTGAGAAAGGCGAGGGTGGCGAGCGAGATTTGGGAGAGCGGCGAGCGAGAACTGGAAGAGGGGAGAGAGGAGAACAAAAATATATGTATTTATACAATTTTCTCTGCTTTATACAATTCGAAATAATTTTTATACACTTGTGTTTGTATAAAAAGTGAGAAAGTGAGCGAGAGATTGGAGGAGAGTGGCGAGCGAGATATTTGGGAGAGAGGCGCCTAACAATTTTTTTGCAAACATTTGCTATGGAGCACAATTAAATCAAACCCTAGCTACTTCATTTATTTAGGTTACTAGTTTGCTATTATATACAATTTTCCCTTTAAAAAAATGGACAAACGACATATCTCACAATATCACATACTTTTAAGGTAAAAATTACCATTTGTCCCTTATAAGTTTATAATTACAAAAATCCCTTAAACTGATACAATAATATAAGCGCTGATACATTAATCTGATGCGCGAGATACATTGATCGTTAAGTAAGATACATTACATTTTATATATGTTACATTAATATATGTATATTTTATACATGATACATTAAATCTAATGAGCGAGATACATTACTTGATTCCCGAGATACATTAATTTGATGTGTTGATACATTAATCTGATGTGTGAAAATGAGGAATTTTGAAAATTTATAAAACTAATAGGGGAAAATGATCATATGGGAACTTAAAGGTGGAATTTTTGTCATTTATCTAAAAAAATTTAATAGAAACTAAGTTATATTTTGGGCTAAAACTTGTAATGTAAATTTAAACTTATGTTTTGTAAAATAAATTAGTTAATTGTGTGCTTTTGAAATTATCCTTTTCACTATGGTCTTCAACAGTACGCAAACAATAGCGTAAGATGTTATCCACAAATATTAAGGAGTCGGTTCAAAACCGTCTTAGAATTATAGTAGTTATTTAGTATTCTTTTTATTATATTGAGGTGTTATAAATCTATTGTGTTATGTGGATGATCCATTAGAGTTATCCAACAATTAATTGGATTCATGTATTAGTGTTTCCAATGTGATAAGATTTCAAGGTAATAAGAACCTTGATGATAACTATTTATAATTCCAAGGTGACCTTTGACTATGATATCTCAACACTATAAATAGAGATATCATTCACCATTGTATACACTTGAATAAGAAGAAAATTCTCCTTCTTCTATCTACTTCTCTTGTCTTCTTCTCTTTATGATTATATTCTTATGAGCTTGATCTTATAAGAGTCCGAAACTCAAAGGGTAAAAAATATTAACAAAAATTCAAAAACGGTATATAAAATTTTATATAAACCAAAATGGTAAAATCGCTGCCGACGCAGCGATTTACTTCGACTGAAAAAGTAAAATCGCTGCTAAGGCAGCGATTTTGCCAAAAATTTTTTTTTAATAAAAAAATGAAATCGCTGCTCAAGCAGCGATTTCAAAATGTTTCTTCTTACAAATCGCTGCCAGGGCAGCGATTTAACATTATTTTTTAATTTTTTTTTTTTAAAAAATAAGGTATATCGCTGCTCTGGCAGCGATTTACGAAGAAATTTTTTTTAAAAAAAAAATCGCTGCCAGTGCAGCGATTTATAAAAAAAAAAAATTTGATATAAATCGCTGACGATTTACAAAAATAAAATTTTTTTTTTATGTAAATCGCTGAGCAATTTTTTAAATAAAAAAAATTTTAAAAATGTTAACTTATGTTTATAATTTATAAGAAAATATACATTATTTTAAAAAAATTAAAAAT